ATTCTAAGCTAGCAGGCTAACATTAGCTAACGCTAGCAACATGCTAATGACTTGTTAGTCTCACTCAGTTATTAGTACTGTAATGAGCAAATGACTTTTGTAAGACAATATCAAACATACCTTTAGAGTTTATGCAGTTATTTTGAGACAAATCTTGTGACAAATATTTAAAAAGTAATGATTTACGAAGAGAGGCTTACTGGCTGATCAAGACCACCTAATGATCTGTTTAAAATCCAGGGCCAGAAAAATATCTATGATTGCAGTTCAGTTCAAATCAGATAATTAACTAACCAACTAACTAACCAACTAACTAACTTATGAGCCATGTAACTAATATAAAGTCATATAAACAATATGAAGTTGTGGTTACAATTACAGTTGAACATAATTATCAATGTTTGAAACTGTAAAAAAATAAAAAATAATATATATATATATATATAAATATATATATATTTTAAATATGTGTACACATACATGAAGTTGCAAACATTCTTTATTATGAATTCTGTCAACTGACACTGACGACTAAGTATTTAGTGTTTTGATAAAAGGCATGCAGGCTGGCAGGTGTATACTTTTAAGAAACGCTACTTTCATTTGAAATAGTATTTAAAAACTTGTATGAAGACATCAAATTATTGGTTAATGTTAAAATTATCATCAACTGATTAGAAAAACATGTATTAGAATAGTGTCTCTGCAATATGGCCCAATTAATAATCAGTGGTGGGCACAGCTAACCAAAACGTTAACTTTGCTAATCCATATTCCGCTAACTAAAAAAATTAGCTTTACTAACGCTAGACTGCTAAACAGGTTAAAGTAATAGCAGAATCTAACGCTAAACCACTAACCAGACAACTGTTACTCCGCCTGTTTCACATGCTTTCCTTTCCTTCCAGGTGAATTTGCGTTGACCAATCACGTCTTGTCACAGGTACACGTAGTAAGCCAATAGCACGTCTAAGCGACACGCCCACAACAGACAGGAACAAGCTTGTGAATTCTGTTAGCGAACTTAAAGTTTATGAAACCTAAGTTAGCGCCAGAGTTTCCAACGGTAGAGAAAACGCTAACCTGCTTAACAAAATAATTGTTCTGCTAACTTTACTGTTTTCAACCAGTTTGACACGACTGTCAACAAGGAAGAGGGACGGCAATGGAGGAGGAGGCGTGACAAAGAGACCATCTTAGCACCAACATCACTGGTTTGTTCCACTTTGTAAGCTGTTGGGGGAAGAATCAATTTTATGTTGTGTGTTTCCTCGACTGATGAAGCCTTCCGGATCGAAGGCGAAATGTTTCAGCACAAAAAAAAAAAAAAAAAGAAACTGTCCAGATGACCTGACTGAAAAATATTGGATTGTATACCTGGATTATTGAGCATGGACTTTGTTGTTCTGCTAACTGTTAGCAGATTAGTGGAACTGTGCCCCCAACAGTTAATAATACACCAAAGAGAAGTTCAAACTAAATCTTTGAGCAGACATTTGAAAAAAGTTTAATGGCAGGGTTTTATTAAGGGAAAACAAACATTTCTAAGATGATTATGGAAATATTGTTGCATAACAGCCATGGTAGAGAAAGGTTGTTGTCGTCATGTGTAAAACCCTCAATATGAATTCCCTGAAATAATGAACACATTCTCAGATGCATGACAGAGTAAACTAATTTAATTGTATTAAAATAGTCCTATTTGTAACGTTTCAGGATTAAGGATGAGCTGCCAATTTACCGGCTCACAAAGCACTGCTACAAATAAAGCACCAGTAGCCTACATAAGGAAAAGTAGTAGTAAAACATACTGGCTAACTTTTAGAAACACGAAGGCTGTTTAAAAGCCTTTGCATTTTTTACTTGCCCTGTATTCACACGTTTCCGTTCATCTTTTTTTTTTTTTTTAAAAAAGAATGGTTACAAAAGATCAGTAAGAGACAAAGTGCAGAGACAGACTGAAAGGGGAATGCTGAAAATTGTCCCTGATCGCCTGCTTGATTGAAGTGCTTTCCGGTCGTCAGAGCTGGTGCGATAGGAGAAAAAGCTTTCAGTCCACTACTGTGCAATCAAGATGTGGAGAAAAGCCGAGTCGGTGACGTAGAATGTAGCATTATTGATGAATTCGCGTTTTTGTTATTGATCTGTTGCACGATCAGTGTCTATCTCTAACACACCTATGTAAAGCTTAAACCCTATCAACTCATAGTTTTTGCTGCATGATGCTTTGTCGAGATATACATCACCGTCACGAAGAAATGTGGAGTATTAAAACATCTGTTTTGGGGAGATAAGTTCAGGTATGTTTTCCTGTCACGAAAAGAAAAAAAAAACCATCTGCCACGCTTCTGCATTTGGCAAAATCATTTCCTCTTGATTTGTTCCCCAGCCGGGCTGATCTGAAAAGATGCTCTGTAAATGTATGTGTGTGTGTGGTGGTGGCCGTTTGAAGTCAGTGGCAATTCTCCATAATTCACCCCCCCTCCAGATTCCTTCCTTTCATTTTCCTCAGCTGAAGTCCTCATCACGTCCCCTCACGCACCTGCTCCCTCTCACCTCCTACCTGCCTGTCAGGGCTCGGCGTTCTAATTTTATCTTTCTTATATGTGTTATAATTCCAGGCAGGATGCATGGCTTTCCCATGTGTAGACCTTCACCGGCGCATTTGGTTTCAAACAGGTTTTATATAAAGGGATTATACACTCTGAAATGATTGGAGCCACATCATCCTTCCTAAACTCGCACTCACACACAATAAAATGCACTCGTGGATGCGCTTTCTAATTTAGTTGTGACGAACACGCACACTTCTAGGTCAATGGAGGCTTTACAACAGCAAACTAATCCACCATTCCGTTTTGATTGACTCTGGGGGATTGGTGGAAACTTTGCCCAGTAGTTTCAGTGATTATTTTGCACACTAGTTGCTTTAAAAAAAAAAAAAAAAAAAATCTCTTCAGTGGTTCTTTCACTGTTTTGAATTTTACTTGGGTTGAGATTTCTAGTTCTAGAATTGCGCCGCTCTGAGTGGCTGCATGTTGGAGCAGCTCTGTTACTTTCATTCTGAGATTTTGCTTTTGGAAACTTTAATTCCTGGTTTTCTGGATGTAAATCACATTTTTTGGATGATTGTTTCCTCTGGTATCAGATGCTGTGCAGCTGGAAGGATTTTTACTGAAACTTTTTAAGTTTTGGACATTTGTTATGATGCGTAACCATGGCAACAAGGCTGTTTTCTACAACAACAGCAGCTGATTAACATCTCAAAAGCTCAAATAATATCTCAACTATGGCCCTAACTCTCAAATGAGTTGAAAAGGATGTTATGTGGACGCATTCTCATCTACCTGCCAGCTGTGCTCAAGTGCCTGACCACTGAGATCCTGGAACTAGCAGGAAACACGGCTCATGACAGCGAAAGGACAGGATCGTCCCTCAGCACCTACAGTTGGCTGTCCACAGCAACGAGGAGCTCGGCAGACTGCTGGGAGGAGTGGTCATCGCTCTGGGAGGAGTTCTGCCCAGCATTCAGGCAGTCCTATAGCCTGGGGGAACCGAGAGGTCAGCCGAGTCTGGGTGGATGGATCGGACGGCATCTGCAGCCAGTTTCTTAGGATCCACTGTGGGATGGACCTTTACAAGAGATCCTTCCTGTCTACAGCATCAGCATCTATAACATCTCTTAATGAAATGAGGATAACGAGTTACAACAACAAAATAATTTCCCTTTGGGATTAATAAAGTATTTTTGAATTGAATTGCATTTAGAGTAAATGAATCTTAAGTCAGTTGACTTCTGCTGCCCTCAGG